AGGCTGTAATATACTGCAGTAAAACCAAGTTAGACCAAAAAAAAGAGGTTTATATACAAGAGTAATTGAATATTAAGAAAACATCCCAACCCAGTCCAGTCCAAGCCCATAAGTCTGTTATTAGCCCATATGTCCGATACCAACCTATAAAATCTTCAGACTCACGAAACAGAAGCAATGACACTAAATGCAGGACCATCACAGGCCAGTGGGTAGAAAGTCTTTGGATCCAGTGGCATTGTAAGCATCTCAGTGCTGGCAGGGGTCTCTATGTGGCTTCTCTGGCTTCAGAGGTCTGGTTGATTCAGGGTAGGTCTGTGTGGCTTTTCCAGCTCAGGGCACTAGCGTAGTTCCATCTGTCTTGTCAGCTTCAGTGTCTCCCAGGGAGTGAGCAGAGAGAAGAGTGTCTCCATCTCCAGAGAGGTAAATTCCGGATTCCCCAGGATTCTCAGGAGAAGGCCCTGCCCACACAGAGGCCTCATTGGCTATGACCTGATTGACAGACTAGACTCCACCCTTCACTCTTTATCCTCTCAAGTCCCAAATTGACACCATATTATGTAACTACCACACTCTCTGTGAATACTTTTATCAATTTATTTTAATATCTATTTTCCATATACTTTAGCTTAAAGTTTTTTTATTCTGACTTGGTTAATTTGGCAACCTCTTTGTGGAGAGAAATGAACCCTGGTGGTGCTGTTGGTTAAGGGTTGAGCTCCTCACACCAGTAGTTCAACCCCACCAGCTGCACCCCCAGAGAAAGTTGAGGCTGTGTGCACCTATAAAAATTTATAGTTTCAGAAACCTAAAAGAAGGATCCCTGTGAATCAGAATTGACTCAGTAGCAGTAAGCTTGGTTTTATGGTTTTGCATATGTGTTTTTTCATATACATATGCAGAAGTTATGTAGTATCTGAAATATTTGATAAATCCTGGGCCATTTTGTTAGAGACTGTAAGGTAAATATGTAATTGTGTGTACTTGAATGGCATTAAAGACCTGAAAGAATTTTATATCACTATCTTAAGGAACCTATTGGAAACTCTTGTTTTTTCTTGAAACTATTTGATGGCCTTCCAATGTCTAAGTCTAATGGTTCTCAATCTTGACTGCAAGTCAGAAAAAGAAGCAGCTTAGGGCTTCGTGGCCCAGGGGTCTGTATTTTTTAAAATACTCCCTAAATATTTCTGGGGTCTCGCTGCCTTTGAGCAATCTGCTCTACCAAGCACCAAAACGTTTTTATGCTACTAATTGTCTAGATGTTGATAGACCTTCTTTCGTTTATTCAGTTTTGATTTTGTTGTTGTCATTATTCATGCCATGTCTTTCTAATCTAAAATGGAGCCCATGAGACTTGATTTTCTACACCTGACATGCTTAACTTGGCGTAAACAACCATTCCCAGGATCCCAAGCTGGGTTGAGATATCTAAGCAATGTATCATTGCAGTGTTCGTTGCGAGCATTCAAATAGTAACTTCCTGAAAGGGAAAGGATATTGTTAATGAATTGTTAAAGTCAAAGGTAGAATTACAAACAGACATTAGAATTCCTGGCTTCTAATTTTTTCCACACTGTAGAACTGTACAAATTATACAATTGTGGCAATTTGGCAACTCTGTATACTTATTATTTGTTTAATTGATCTTCAGTTAGTGTTAATTAGCTTATTGAAATTTCAATCATTCTACTTCACTTCTATAAGTTGCAAATGGCATTAATGCATCACACATTTCTATTTTCACCCTACAGTTTCACTCCTTTTCAGAACATATTGACATGCAATGTGATGTAGAGCATGTAAGTATCATACATGTTAAGTAATAAACTGTTTTTCTTATGTAGGTTCAAGCTAAATGTTACCAGCTTCTCCTCTCAGTCTTCCAGCATTCCAATCGTGCCCTTTCAACTCCCTATATCCACTCATTAGCTCCAATCGTGGTTGAAAAGCTAAAAGCTGTTGAAAGAAGCAAACCGACCAGTAGCACTGAACTTGTGGCTGTGCAGGAAGGGATCAAGGTTCTTGAGACATTGGTTGCTCTTGGCGAAGAACCGAACAGTAAGTGCTGCTCATAAAAAGTGAATAATCCAAAATTGAAGATTTATACAAATCTACTTTTAAACACCTCTTATTTGATATTAGATAGGCTTTGCAACAGTAAGGTTACTAAGAAGTAGTTACTATTTGAAGTGTAATGTTTTTGTTCTTTCATATTGCTAGCATAACATTGAGTTGATATTTATTTAGTTTTCTAAGCAGGGAGTTGAAATTGATTGCTAATAACTTTCAACACACTAATTTTTAGAATTCTAATTTCTTTAAGAACTAGAAAAAACAAATAGAAAGTAAATGTTTAGAAAATGATGAGGGCAACATATGTACAAATACACTTGATACAATTGATACATGGATTGTTATAAGAGCTGTAAGAGGCCCCAATAAAATGATCTTTTAAAAAGTAAATAAATAAAACTTTGGGGGGGAAAAGAACTAGAAAAATGTGAATGTTTAATAGATTAAAAAAAAAAACACCTTTTAGCCTTCATCATAGAGGTCTGAAAATTTATTGAAAAACAACTGGATTAATATTATTACCAAACATTATTATTTAAAATATTTCAAAATTTTTTATTTACTGCAGAAAAAAAACCCTAGCTACTCCATACATCCCGTCAATTTGAGGCTTCTATGGCAGACTACCTACTTATTTTTTGCTTCGGTTTTGGTTTCATTATAGTCTAATATTTGTGTCTAAAATATAACCTTTTATTGTTGCAAAGCAATTAGACTTTGAAAACTTGTGTGTTATGTTTAAAGATCAGAAAAACTTGGAGGCGAGTGAGCATCCTTTTACAGAATAGAAACCTTTGCACACTCTTTTTTATTTCTATCAGATCAGTTTCTAAAAGTGACACTACTGAGTCAAAGGAAGTACACATTCCAAAAGGCTTTAATGAATACTGTCCAGATTGCTGTCCATGTAAAACTGCATTCAGTTTGTTTCCCTATAAAAAGGATATTTTTTTCTTTTTTCTCCAAAAACAAAACCAAAAAAACCTACAAGAAATAGCAAAAATCATAGAAAAACTTTAAAGATGCTGCAATAATTCCCATCAACAAGTAGTGATCCAAATTGCGATAGTGACCGTGAGATTAGAAAAACAGTAAATTCACTCCATGATATTTGTATGGCCACATATTTGGGAACTCATGACCAAATCTTCATTGTTTAAAAATCCCAGCATTGAACTTAACTGAGTTTTGCAAAGTAAATATTGAAAATATTTGAGCCGTGTCATTCCTTGGGACCAATTTCTGAACAGGTGCCCTAATTTAGAATTAAACTTAGCAGGCGGATAGTACGGAAGGAAGTCTTATATTTAGAAAAAAATGAAATCTGTATTGTTTGAATTTTTTAATCGTAGTTGTATACTTACATAATTTTGTGAAATTAAAAGGTTTGATAATTAGACTTAAGCAGTAGCCATGAAATGACCCTAATCCAATTAAGAATCTATTAATTTGAAGTGTAAAATAACCAAATATTAGTCTAATGACCAGACCAATTGGTAACATTCAATGTTAATGAGGCAGATCAACAGTACACACTGTCACAGTTGCTTCATTTTAAAGTCTTTCTCTCAGATGGCTGATGTTGTGTAATATACGAAGACTTTTGAGATGTCAAATAGGCAGTTAACTTTTTTAATATTAAAACTCTTAAGTATTGCTCAGCTTTGCAGTGTCTTTTCTTGAACATTCTCTCAATTGCTAACTATAGGTTTTTAGCACCTAATTCTCCAATTGTTCTGTGCTGTATGCTCTTTTTAGCTGGGTAACAAAATCATTCTGTACAGAGACCATGAATTATGTAGCACAGTGGCATCTAGGAGAGCTGAAACTAGCTGGGATTGACTGTTGTTGTTTTTTTAACCTGCTGTTGAAATCCTCTTTAACTCAGTGTTCTGAAAATGATTTCCTATTTATTTAATAATTCAATGTGGTTTTGCATTATGAAAGTTAGTTCCCCTTTTTATTGGTGGTGGTGGGAGTACGATTTCCTTGATATGGAGTATGAAATCCAAGATAGGCAAACTTACAGAGACAGTAACTAGAACAATAGTTTCCTAGGGTTATTTATGGCAGAGGAGGTTGGAGGGGAATGAGGCGCTGATAACAATAGCACCTAACAATACTGATGAGTACACAATGACGAAACTGTTCTAAATTGATGTGGTAATGATTGCACCACTCTTTAATGTATTCGAAACATTGAATTATATGGCAAAACTTTAAAAAAAAAGAAAGTTGTTTACAGTACTATTATTCTATTTTAGAAAAATTGAGCTAAATCTAATGGATTAGAGGATTTTCTTGCAACTTTTCTTTTAAAATATGAGCTTGTAAAAAAAAAATATGAGTTTGTTAGCTTCTTTCTTCTGAAAATTTAATGGAGGGTGGGGATAGGGAGAAGAGGAATAAAAAAATTCAATTAATTGGAAACTCCAGAGTAGTTTCCATGGGAAATGATTTGTATGTTGATTCATTCAACAAACACTTATTGATTGTCTACTGCATTACCAGCTCTTCATTACCAGCTCTTGTTCTAGGCACTGAAGATTCAGCAGGAAATAAAACACAAAATGTTGATTGCATGGAATTTACATTCTAATGGGAGAAAACAAACAAAACTACCTCGCTCCAATAGCTATATCTGTATCTGTGTTACCTATCTTATATACAGATAGAAGTTTTTCTATAAATTATATAGCCATATATATAAAACATGTTTATATAGCTGTAAAGTTGATAAACCTGTGTCAACTTTACATATGTGGTAGTGAAATTCATATATGTATTATTAGGTGTTGTAGAGGCAATGATGCAGCAGGAGCAGAAGCTAGGCAGTACATGTATGGTCGGGCAGAGGTGGAGGTTTTCTTTTATCATTGTCCTTGGGGACATTCCCCCAAACAAAACAAAACCTACTGCCATCAAGTCATTCCTGACTCCGAGCAGCCCTCTGGAGAGTTTCCAAGGCTATACAGCTTTACAGGTGCAAATTCATCTTTCTCCTGAGGAGCTCCTGATAGGTTGAACTGCCAACCCTGATTAGCAGTTAGCAGACCAACACTTACCTGATGGTGTTCTTTGGGCTCCATTTGTGCAGTAAAGCCCCACATCCTGGTTCAGATGCTCTGGGCCCCTACAGCATGACTCTGATTTTATCTGTGGCTGTTCTACAAAGCTCAGTGCATGAAGACAGCGTTGTTGTCAACTTTGATTATAGGAACACAGGCGGGGAAAAAGAGGCGCTGATCCCGAGGGCTCAAATAGAAAGTAAATGTTTAGAAAATGATGATGGCAACATATGTACAAAAATGCTTGAAACAATTGATGTATGGAATGTTATAAAAGCTGTAAGAGCCTCCAATAAAATGATTAAAAAACAAAACAGATCATGTATGAAGGTTAGGGTGTTAGTAAAATCGCAGCTTTCCTGGCATTTATGTATTTTAGGATGGATTTGTTAATATGGGCATGAATAACCTGACTGGGAAAAGGAGAGTGAGCCCTCAAATAGTCAGTTTAAAGACTTGAAATTTATACGAGGCTGATTACTTCTGAGGAATTTTTTTCTTACTGTTGGTTTTGGGAGTCATGAAATGGATGGTTATTGTATTGCATCTCTATTGAAAAAGAAGGAAATACAGTACCTAGTTCTAGGTACCTAATAGGAGCTCTGGTGGAGTAGCGGTTATGCATTGGGCTGCGACCCTAAGTTCGGCAGTTTGAAAATACCAGTTTTCGGCTGGTGAAAACACCAGCAGCTCCACAGGAGAAAGAAGAGACTTTCAATTCCCGTGAAAGGTTATAGTCTTGGCGTCTCCGGGGCAGTTCTACTGTGTCCTGTAGGGTCACTATGAGTTGGCTTCGACTCGAAGGCAGTGAGAGTAGAGAGGCGCATGATGGTAAGTAGAATCTCTTTGGGTGTCTAGCCCTAATGCAACCTCCTCATCCTGAAATGCCCTTTACAATTGTATAATTTTTCTCTCCAAATACCTTCTCCTAATGACACTCTAGGAGTGTTTTATTCCTTTTAAACCTTTTCGCTATTATTTTAAAATAATTGTAATTTTAAATTATACAATATTCGCAAACCTTATATCCAGCGCTAACATAGCCTGGCCATCTAGTAAATATTTAATATATGAGTTCTCATTTGGAGCCCTGGTGGCAGGACAGATAAACCCCTCAAGACCAAAAATGAGAGTAGTGATACCAGGAGGGTGGGGGGAGAAAGGGGGAACCAATCATAATGATCTACCTATAACCCCTTCCCAGGGTGATGGACAACAGAAAAG